CAGTGTGGCTCAGTGGTTGAGTGTCAACCTATGAACTAGGAAGTCATGGTTCAATTCCCAGTCAGGACACACGTCCAGGCTGTGGGCTTGATCCCATGCAGGAGGCAGCTGATCCATGATTCTCTCATCCTGGATGTTTCTATCTCCCTCTCCCTTCCTCTCTGAAATCAATACAAATATATTTTTTAAAAAAAAAAGGAAAAAAAAAAGAACACAGAATATCCAAAGCAATCCTGAAAGAGAAGAGCAAAGCTGGAGGACTTCTCTCACCTTGACCTCAAGACCTGCCATAAAGCTCCAGTAATCAAGACAATGGGGTACGTACTGGTGCAAGGACAGACATACAGATCAAAGAAACAGAAGAGAATCTAGAAGTGAACTCACACATTTATAGTGAATTTTCAACAAAGGTGTCAAGATAATCCAATGGAGGAAAAAACAGTATTTTCAAAACATGGTTTTAGAATAAGCAAACATTATACAAAACACAGAATATAGATGCTTACTCCATACCACACAAAAATTAACTCAAAATAGTCCATATATTTAAATGTAAAATTGAAAACTATAAAACGTCTAAAAGAAAATTTTTGTGACCTTGGTTTAGGCAAAGATTCCTCAGACATAATAAAAGCACAATCCTTAAAAGGAAAAAAAAAAATCAATAAACTGGACTTCACCAAAATAACTTTTACCCTTCAAAGACATTAAGAACTAGAAGAGAAAAGCCACAGACTGGAAGCAAATAATTCTAAGTAATTATCTGATAAAGGACTTAATTCAAATTATATAAAGAACTCATGCAACTCAAGACAAACTCAATTTTTTTTAAATGGGTAGAAGTTCTGAACACTTCACCAAAGAGAAGTATGAACAGGAAACAAGCACAAGAAAAGATCCTCAACATCATCAATCAAATTAATTAGGGAAATGCAAATTAAAACCACAAAATGCCATTTCACACTCACTGGAATGATTATAATCCAAAGGCTGACAGTGCCAGGCGCCAGGAAGGATGTGGAGGAGCGGGAACCCTTCTGTCACGCTGGTGGGGATGTAAGGTTACTAGAAGAGTCACCTCAGAAAACAGTTTGGCGGGTTCTTGAAACGCTAAATATGTTCTTACCATCTGACCTAGTAATCCCATTCCTAGATATCTATCCAAGAAAAATAAAAACGTATCTTCATTTATAACCTTGGACATGAATGGTCATAGCAGCATATTTCATAATAGCCCAGAACTGGAAATAACCCAAATATCCATTAACTACTGCATAATGGATCAATGAAATGTGGTACATCTATACAATAGAAAAGCATTCTTCAACAATAAAAAGGAAAGCACTACTGACCTGATCCAACATGAACCTCAGAAACATTATGCTAAGTGAAGGAAGCCAGACACAAAGACTACATATTGTATAATTCCATTTCTATGAAACTTCTAGAAAAGGCAAAAACACAGAGTCAGAAACACGGTCAGCAGTCCCCTGGGGCTGGGAGCAGGGCTGACTCCCAGTCCACAGAAGGGAACTTGAAGGAGATGAAAGTGTTCTATGACTCAGCTGCGTAATTTACTAAAACTCACCTAACAAGTACACTTTAAAATGTGTGAAGTTAATGAAATGTAAATAATACTTCAATAAAGTTATATAAAAATAAAAGTGATTGATGAATAAAGCAAATGTAGCATAAGCTTAGCAACTGTGCCCTAGCTGGTTTGGCTCAGTGGATAGACAGTTGGCCTGAGAACTGAAGGGTCCCAGGTTTGATTCCTGGTCAGGGCACATGCCTGGGTTGCAGGCTTGATCCCCAGTAGGAGGAATGCAGGAGGCAGCCAATCAATGATTCTTTCTCATCATTGGTATTTCTATCTGTCTCCCTCTCCCTTCTCTGAAATCAATAAAAATATATTTTTAATTTTTTAAAAAAGCTTAGCAATTGTATAATCTAGATGACAGGAATATGGATGCCCCCTGTACAATTTTTAAAAATATATATATTTATTGATTTCAGAGAGGGAAAAGATAGAAACATCAATGATGAGAGAGAATCACTGACCAGCTGCTTTCTGCATGCCCCTCACTGGGGATCGAGCCTGCATCCCCGGGCATATGCCCTGACCAGGAATTGAACCGTGACCTGGTTCACAGGTCAATGCTCAACCACTGAGCCACACTGGCCAGCCTAACAATTCTTTAAACTTCTTTGTGTGTTTTAAATTTTTCATAATAGAAGTAAGAAGGAGAAAGTTTGCTAAACTGAATTTAATAGAAATCACTTGCATAAACAAAGATCACAGTAAACAAAGGGTTGGCCCTTATACTACTGCATTCAATAGTTTACTTACTCCTCAAAATGACAAATTCCCATTCAGAGTTTTAACGTAGTTTTGACCAAAGGTTAACTGATTCTCCGGCATGACTTTTAGAATAAATAGATAAAACTGCCACAAAGCCCTGCAATGCTGATGACTTCACAACGCGCGCTCTCTCTCTTGACCTCCCAGACCAAGCCTTCACAGCAATCCACTGGATGCTCTGCTCCCAGCCCGTCAGCTCCTGAGATGTTGCTGTTAAACAGGGCACCGCTCTCAGCCCGCCTCTAAAAGCAACACACCCCCCGGAAGCTTTGGTCAGTGTAAATATGAGCCCCAAAGATAAAACTCCTCTCTCGCTTTGCCTGAGCTGAAAAAGGTGTGACAGGAAGGGTGAGCTGTGGTATGAAGTTCACCAAAGACGGAGGGTGCCCTCAGGTCTGGGTGGCCCAGAGAAGGCTGTCGGAGTCAGAGATGGGTCAGAAAAGAGCCAACGGCAGCGCACCTCCCAGGCCCTTCCCCACTTCCCCTGGGCGCTAGAGCAGTGATGGCAAACCTTCTGAGCTCGGCGTGTCAGCATTTTGAAAAACCCTAACTAAACTCTGGTGCCGTGTCACATATAGAAATTTTTTGATATTTGCAACCACAGTAAAACAAAGACATATTTTTCATATTTATTTTATATATTTAAATGCCATTTAACAAAGAAAAATCAACCAAAAAAATGAGTTCGCGTGTCACCTGACAACGCGTGTCATGGGTTCGCCATCACTGTCCTAGAGCCTGACCCACAAGGGCCAGAAGCCTCTGGGGAAGCTTGAAAGACCACGGCAGCGGTTCTCAACCTGTGGGTCGCGACCCCTTTGGCAGTCGAACGACCCTTTCACAGGGGTCACCTAAGACCATCCTGCATGTCAGATATTTACATTACGATTCACAACAGTTATGAAGTAGCAACGAAATAATGTTATGGTTGGGTCACAACATGAGGAACTCTATTTAAAGGGCCAGAAGGTTGAGAACCACTGGACTTACCCTAACCCTCTTCTGCATTACCAACCCAAGCTGTTTTTTTCTTTTGCTCTTCTGGGGAGGGTTGCTATTTTTGTTTGTTTTGTTTTTTTGATCTGGTTTTGCTTTGCCATTGCATTTATAACCTCAACACTCTCAGACATTGCCAGATCTGCCTTTCCGAAAGCAGCACTTAGTTACACACATGTCAGAAAGGACTTTGCTGCTGGTCAGGTAACATCTGATGTCATCCTCCATGTTCTGTGTTTAGGACAGACACTTAAAGGCATTTCCCTGACACAGTCCCTCAGGCACGTTCACTAGTTACCAGCTGTGCACAGATACCTAAGGAGTAGACCGATGCTGGGGAGTCAAGTTCTCCTGTTTGTTTGTTTGTTTAAAATAAAGAACGTAGCAGCCCTGGACAGGCAGCTGAGTTGGTTAGAGCGCTGTCCCGATACACCAAGGTTGCGGGTTCAATCTCTGGTCTGAGCACATACAAGAATTAACCAATGAATGCATAAATAAACCCAACAACAAATCGATGTTTCTTTCTCTCCCTCTCCTTCTTCTAAAATCAATAAATAAAGAAACAAAAAGAACGTAGTAAATGTGCCACACACTTCTCTTTGCTAACTAGGGAAAACCCGGGGTATGGACCAATGGTGCTAAGTGTTATGAATGCGTGTGCTGCTGTTACCAGCAAGCAATTCCTGACACGGTTACAGAGCCCAAGTCCACAGCATTTCTTTAGCCATTCTGGAGGCATTTTCTTCTATGATCTAAGTGCTTCCTTCAGTGATTAGAGAAATAGTCTAAATGTCTACCTGTTGGCTTGGAATGGAGACCACCCTGGTAAGATAAATCTGAATCTGTGTGGCCTCTGAGCCGCTCATTAGCAGGAAACAACTGAAGGGTTTAAGAGCTTGTATAGGACAACACCAGAAGCAATCAGGAGATCAGCTCATGCTTCAGCAATTCTGTGACCTGCTGCCCCCACTCTAGGTTTCAACTTCACTGTGTGTGTTCTCTCTGTGAGGTCCCTAAGCAGGAAGCACTGTGGGAAAATAATTTTTCAAATCACAAGTCCCCAAGTCCTCCTGAAGTATGTTAGTCAAGGAGCCACAAATTTCTTCTCTAGTTTCCAACAATCCTCTATCCCCCAAAAAAGTCAAGTCTCTATCAGAATTTCGTATTAATCATTGGAACAAACATTTCTTGATCCCCTGACCACAAAGTCTTAAAGTACCAGGGGGAGATAAATGCTTCTACTGGAGGAAACGATAAGTACACATGGCATTCTGGTCCCTGTCTACTGCACAGCCAATCTATCTTTGAAGAAAAATGTTTTAAGAACTTCAGGAAATTTAACTGTTGCTGCTTGACATCCCAGAGCACTCGGATAGTATATGTTTATTATTCAAAATAATGCATAGAAAAGGCTGAACTGCTGAAAGGATCGCGGCACCTACTGAACAGCCTGTGCTTCTGGCATTCCCCAAGGAAACCCAGGAGTGTGTCAGTTGCTTCCTCCTCTTTCCAGCCTCCTATCGCTGGTTCACTCTGTCCAGCCTCGGGAACAAGTTAACAACACAGCTTGCAAATAGGTGTCTCCCCCAGCAAAAAGAATCCAGCAGCCCACCAACACTGTCACAGCCCTTCCCACACTTACCAGTGCCATAGGGAGGATGCAGCTGATGGCAGTGAGCATCAACGGCCTGAAAAAATACAGGTGGTAGTTTCAATTTTTATTTAGAATTCTTACTCGCCAACTGCCTGAAATCTTTAAGGCTACAGGAATGGGCTCCATGTCTCAGCCTGTGTTAAGCCACTTTGTGGTCCAATGACATTTGTTAACACTCGTAGTCATTCACTACACAGCAGAGATGAAGGAAAGGCGTGAACTATGGGCTAGCTTCTGGGACTGGGGTAGAAAGGGACACGATATAGAAAAACTAGCCTAATGAGATCAAGATGGAAGGAGTCAGGTCTTAGGGGATCAGAGGTGAGGCAAGACGGCACTAAAGGGATAAGAGGAAGAAACAAGGTTAAAGCAGAGACAAAGGAGTAAGTGAACACCACCCTAGAATGGGGCAAAATCGGCAAAAATGGTGGTAGTGGGTTCCAGCAGGCCTCTGACCTTAGGCAAGGCTTCCCCTAGTCTAACTTCACTGGTAGGCCTTTGCCTCTCCCATACTTCACGCCTACATACTCTCAGCCTCTAAAAGGTCATCTCTTTGGCCCATGATCATAAACTTGCTTCCTTTCACTTTTTCTTTAAGGGTCTCCATGGAGGGAGGGCTGACATGTAATTGAGGCACCTACATGTTATATGTGCTCTTAAAAAAATCTATTAATAAACATAATATGGTCTCTGATCATTAAAAAAACTAAAGACCTCATATAACAAAAATTTTTATGCAAAATATAATAAAGCAAAAAATATGAAAGTCATTATTCTTTGACAATGAAGGTACTTTTTAATTATGAAAAATCCCAAGCAACTACAACAGTGAAGAGTGAAATGAAATCCATGTGCTCATTACCTAGCTCCAACACGACTCATGGCCAAGCCCACTGTAACTGTACCTCACTGTCCCCTGCCCTCTAGATTACCGTGAAGTCAATCCCAGCCAGCATATCTTTAGGGCACATTTCAATGAAAATCCTCTGGGAAGTATTTAGTACAAAATGCTGGTAACAGCCCTTCTAGAATTCTAAAAAGTTTTCGGGGGATGGGGAGGGTGCCATATAAGCAACATGACCATCATTTCTGCAAACTCAGGTCATGCCCAGTAACCACAGTGTAAATCAGTGATGGTGAACCTAGGACACGCGTGTCAGAGGTGACACGCGAACTCATTTTTTTGGTTGATTTTTCTTTGTTAAATGGCATTTAAATATATAAAATAAATATCAAAAATATGTCTTTGTTTTACTATGGTTGCAAATATCAAAAATTTCTATATGTGACACGGCACCAGAGTGAAGTTAGGGTTTTTCAAAATGCTGACACGCCGAGCTCAGAAGGTTCGCCATCACTGGCCTAAATAAAGGCAGACAAGGGTTGATATGCAATAAACTGCACACAGGACTAAAAGCCAAGTTTCCTACCATGCTCCGACAGCCACAAGCCCATCCTGACAAGAATGGTATACAAATAATGCTGTCTCCTGGCTCCTGCCACTGTGAAGAGAGGCAAAGGGGCAGGAGTGCCAAACGCCACCTAGGCAGTGCCGCCCAGGCCCCTCCCAGAGGACACAGCAGGGGCTGGCACACCTCACTGACAGCCAGACTCCAGCAGCGTGTTTCAAAGACAGACTAGTGGCTGCTGTCCTTCTCTATGCTTAAAGCAGATATGCTATTTTTATACCCTTTCTGTTTATGTAAATGTCCATCAGAATGGAAGCTCCTTGAGGGTGGGGTATTAAAAATATAGATTTCTATTTATTTCAGAGAGAAAGGGAGGAGAGACAGAAACATCAATGATGAGAGAGAATCTGATATGCTGCCTTTTGAACACCCCCTACTGGGGACCGAGCACACACTGTGACCTCCTGGCTCACAATTTCCTGCACTGGCCAGTCTGGCTACCCTGTTGGAGTGTCATTCCTTACATCAAAAAGCGGTGGCGAGTTCTGCCCGAGCTGGTTTGGCTCAGTGGATAGGCGTCGGCAGGTGGACTGAAGAGTCCCATGTTCGGTTTTGGTAAGGGACACATGCTTGGGTTGCAGGCTCGACCCCAGTGGGGGGCGTGTGAGAGGCAGCCAATTAATGATTCTTCTCATCATTGATGTTTCTATCGCTCTCTCCCTCTCCCTGCCTCTATGAAATCAATAAAATATAAAATAAAATAAAAAGGTGGCAGGTTCAATCCAGTCGGAGCACATGCAAGAGGCAGCCGGTCGACGTTGCACTCTCAGATCGATGTTTCCCCCTTTCTCCTAAAAATCAATAAAAACAAAACAAAAGAACACTTTCCTTCTCTGCCACACCCAAGCACTGGAACAATGCCTGTGCAAGCACCGGGGCCTATATGCCGACCCCACCCTCGGCCTGAGTCCTGTGGGTTCCTCTCAAGTCACGGCACATCCAGTGCTCCCCCACAGCCCAGGCGGACACCAAGGTCTTCCAGGCCGCAGGGGACGCAGAAGAGGCCATCACAGCTCTTCTGAGGAAGGTTTATCCGTAAAAAGGGTGGCGGCCAAGAGATCTGTGGGGGTGGCAGGAGGGCCAGAAATGCTGACAGGCTTGAGGAGGCAGAAATGAAACCTGGGTTAGGAAGGAGTTCGGGCTGGAGGAGCCACTTGAAATTTTTCAACAGAGCAAGGTCAACATGGTGCTTTCAGCGGATACACAAGGAGAGTGTGAAAAAGAAGTAACAAGGGTTTCACTTATTTGTGCCTCCTCTGTCACCATTTTAAACAAGAAGGGGCAGAGACTACAGGCAAAGAAATGCCTCAGTTATTCTGTGGCAGAGAAGAAACTATCTCCCCCAGGCTGTTGTTTATTGTCTAGCATCTATCTAAAATTCAAAACGAGAAGATACTCCGGAAACACTTGTTTATTGGGAATAAACAAACTCTTAACCTATCCCAACTACTAATGAACAAAGAAACCCACATGGCTCATAGAAAGCACTTTGATTAAAAGAGCACCTGCCCTCCCCACCTGGCCCCACCCTCCCAGGCTCCCATCCAGGAGAAATCCCGACGAGCCTTTGTCTAGGTCAGTGATGGCCAACCTTTTGAGCTCGGCGTGTCAGCATTTTGAAAAACCGTAACTTCACTCTGCTGTCACATATAGAAATTTTTTGATATTTGCAACCATAGTAAAACAAAGACTTATATTTGTGATATTTATTTTATATATTTAAATGCCATTTAACAGAAAAATCAACCAAAAAAATGAGTTCGCGTGTCACCTCTGACAGCGTGTCATAGGTTCGCATCACTGGTCTAGGTCCTTCTGGTTGTCACCAACATGGCTGAGTGTGTGCATAGTTCCCTACCAGGTGTTGTTTACTTCTACCACTCCCTGCCTCCCCCTTCCAAGCCCAACTTTTTAATGTTTAAATCACTATTTTCAGTTCCTCTATTGATTACTTTCCTAACTTTAAGACATTGTTTACAAGACCAGAATTGCGTATTTTTTCTTTGTGCTTCCCATGTTACTGGCCGTGGGCCGCTCAAAGGAGAATGTTCACACACTGTCTTCAGTCACCACGAGTCATTCACACTGTGTCACACAGTGTGTGCTTTACCTCTGGCTCAGGATTTTTTGTGCAGTTTTTCAGCTTTGCGTGGGAATTCTCATTCCCTCGTCCCTAGAAAAGAATTCTACGGTTTCTTCACCGTATCCCAACCATCTTCCAGCTGCTTTGTTCTGCTTATTGCCTGGAACCTACCCCACTCCTATTCCTGAAGAAGTTTTTCTTGGATCCCACCAAAATTCTGTTCAAATGTGGGCTACTCCGCACGCCTGTGGTACAGGTGGCATGGTGAGACTTTTCAGTCGACTACTAGATTAGCTCAACCACTTCTTGAATCTTTATTTTCTTCTTTTTAAATTTTCATCTGCAAGTAAATACATCAGCAAAGTTAAAAGGGAAATAAATATCGAAAGTCCTTGATGTCTGGAAATGCGTTTACTTCGCAATGACAGAATTCTAGGTTCGAAGCCAGTTTACTCCGCGCTCTGAAGACGCGGCTGTGCGGTCTTGGTTGTCGCTGCTGCGAGACATCGGGTTCCACTTCTTGTAGCAGACCGCACATCTTCACGGAAACCTTCAGGGTTTTCTGTCCCTCCTTGTTTTTCTGAAACACCACAGTGACAATTCTAGCAGCAGGTCTTTATTCTTTTGGGCAATGGATAGACCCTTTCAATATAAAGACTGCTCTTTTCTTTAGCGCCTGGAAATTTTCTTCTTACAGTTTTTAATATTTTCCTTCTTGCAATTCCTTGTTCCCACTTCCCAGAAATTCTAGTAGATGCTGGATCTCTAGATTGATCCTCTATGTCTCTTTTTTCCACACATTATTTGCCTGTTATTTTGAGAGATTTTCTTGATTTATCTTCTGATCTACAGAATCTTTTTTAACTTGGCAAGCCCATAATTCATCTTCACAAGCTCTTGTTATTTTGATTGTTTTTTCCTGATGGCATGCTATTGTTTTATAGATGCCACATCTTGAATATTTTGGAAGAATACGAAATAGTATGCTTTTAAAAACAAGCAAAATTATCTAATGGTCTGTTTCAGTTAAGGTCAATTTTTCTGTTTCTCTTTAATTTTGCAATTTTCCTCAATGTCTAGTGATTCTGGGTTAGCCATTCACATTAAAAAAAAAAAAAAAAAAAACTAAGGGTCACCAAAAAGAGAATGAGAAACTGATACATACTATAACTTGGATAAACCTCAAAAACATAATGCTACGTCAAAGCAACCAGACATAAAAGGCCATATGTGCATGATCCATATGACATACCTCAAGGAAGGAAATCCACAGGAACAGAAAGCAGAGTGGTGGTTGCCAGGGGCTGGGGGGAGTGGAGAGTATGTGCTTAATGGGTGCCAGGCTTCCTTTTGGGATATTAGAACTAGATCAAGATGATGTGAATGTACTAAATGTCACTGAATCGGATACAGCAGGTCCTCGGTGACGTCGGAGATCCGTTCCTACGGCGACGTGATGCGATTTTCACCATAAGTTGGACT